TAAAGCAGCAACTATGATAAAAAGGTACAACCTTTGATTCCTTTGATCTTAGCAGCCGAAAGCCATTACTTCTGGTTGGGCAACTTTTGTGTATAACCATAAACAAAATCAATGTTATTTCAGCCTAATTGCGTCCACTGTGGTGAGAGACAACTTGGGATAATTACAATTCCACACCTTAATGTGCCACAGAGAGCGCGAGAGAGAGCAAAGACAAAGGGGAAACTTCGACCATCAACGACAGCGACAACAACGCGCCAGGATCGTCGCGTCCCAATGCCAAGTCGTTAAGTGAATTCATATAAAAATTCCTTAAATGTCGCATTATGACAAAACGATCGTTTAGAGCTCGGTCAGGAGGCAGCTTAAACTTTAGCTCCAGCTTCAGTGGCATGATGTTTATGAGGAACTCTCAAAAAAGCTGCACAAATGTTAACTGGAGCTGGAGCCGATGGCTGTCCTGGAATGGTCGTTTTGGCGGCGGCGGCTGGAACAGAAGTCTGCGTGATAAAAATGCTTAGCACACGGCACATTTTGTTAACATGGCCAACATGACTGCGGCAACAGCAACAGCAACAGCAAAAAAGGGGCAACATTACTTGCTACCAATGCCCGGACCGGACTCCGCTCCCCCTGTTTATTTGGTTGGCTGCAAACATTTTTTTGTGTGTTTCAAAAATATTCCGCATTATTTTCCGAGTCCTCCTGCCTTTTGCCTTTTTGCCTTTTTGATTTTTCGAGTCGCAGGTTTTTCTCCGGAGTCGCCGCCGCCGAATCACGAACATTTTGTGTCGTCGCCTCTGTAATTTTTCGTATTTTTTGTAGTATTTCGGTTTTGTTTTGCCTTCGTTTTGTTTGCTTTTGTTTTTGTTTTGACAAAGTTTTATGCAATCTTTGCTTTTATTTTTGGCATTTCTGTGGCTTTTGGTCATGAATCATGATTTATTTGATTTTTTTGTTACTCCGCGGCTGGTGCTGGGGCTGCTGGTGCTGCGCAGGATACTCGTATTTTCGCTTTTAGCAGTTGTTTTTGCAATTGTCTCTTGGCCTGGCTCTGCTCTGCTGCTCTGCTTCTCTGTGGCTCTTCTGCTGGTCTGCCTCATGCCTGCTTGCCTTGCCTGCTACGAGTATAAGCCAAGTTTGGTATTTAGCCGGGCGGCGACAAAAATGGCTTAGTTTGTTGCACACGTTTCGTTTAGTTTCTGTTTCTGTTTCTGTTGCTATTGCTGTTTGTACTTGTGTGTTGTGTTTGTGGGAACGGGATCTGGGCACTCCAGCCAGCGCTCCATGCCCGTAGCTCCAGCTTGGAGCTCCTCTCCTGCTGCTGCCACCTCTTTTGTTGCCTGTCTGCTGCAGCGACGGTTGCTGGGCTGCCGGCATAAATATGTATAAACCCAGTAGTTTGTTTGCCGAGTCGTGATTCGCAGTTGAGTCTTAAAGTCTAAGGAAACGCACGAGGCAAAAATTTAAATATTTCCTGCAAAGTGAAGTGCCTCTTGCAGCGTGTTGAGGGCCAGACATCAGTAACAGAACTGCCTCACGTAACACAGGACTTCACCACCAGTTTCGTACACCTTTAAATGTTGGCTTTATTCATCCATAGAGCGTTAATGCATGGCGCTTTCAATGAACGCCTGCACAATACATATATTTTCTTTCTCAATAAATGCATGAATATCGATCGTTGCCTTACCTCTGCTCAGAGGCCGTCAGCGTCACATGGCGCTGTGCATATGAAACGATCTCGGGCGGCGCAGTCGGCAAACGCACAGCGCAAAAGCTTTGTGTGGCTTCGGCCTGTTCTTTCTGAACCGCCGCAGCGGCAGAGAAAGAGCTTTCTCGGCAGCGCGCAGCGGCAGAGAATCAAAAAACGTTTTAGACTTCGTCTCTGTTGTCTGTGCATACAAACGCACTAAAACATGCGAGTGTCTGCTCCACTATCATCTACGAGCAGCTGTTGCTGCTGCTTCGAGATGAATTTGAATTTAAATTTGAACAACTTGCACTGCAACTGCAACGTAAAGAACTTCAAGTCGGAAATGAAATCGAAGCAGGAAATGTTTTTCTACCATGTCAACATAGACAAACACACACACACACACATACATGTTGAATCGGCAACTGAGTAAAATGCTCTTGCCATTACCCCAGAGACATTTTGTAAGAATGTTTTTCTCTTTCAATATTTTCATTGCATTTCTGTTATACAAGTATTTTGTCTTGAGTGTTTTTTGTTTGCTTTGTTCGCTGCATTTGGAGCTTGTTATGATTTCAACTTGTTGCACGTGAAATGCATAACGTACTCGTGGATTCCCAGTTGCACAGCTCAGCACTGGGACCGTGTGCCTTGCTCCATGGACCGTAGACCGTAACCAAGGCACGTACTTTGCCCGAGACACGGAAGTTCGGCCAAGGCGAAGCGAACGGAACACATCCGAACCGAACACACGAAAAAATAACAATGAAAATCGAAGCGGAATACTCTTTTAATGCAATTCTTAAAGTGCAAGTGGCTCAATTGCGGGGTTTAATTGGAAAGCGCTCTCCTTCCCATGCGGCGCACGTAGCCAGCTTAAATATTGCCAAACATATGCGATAGAGGTCTGGCCCTGACCCCCCTGCTCCTTGCAACAATGAGTAGAAAAACGAGATGCAAAATGCGCCAGAATGTTGCTCAGCTTTACAGCAAAACAAGTAGATAATTTCTTTAATTTCCGTTTTCCATAATTCGATTGATTTTCCCTCTTTTTTTTTGCACTTTTTCCGTCCCGTAATTAAAACGCGCTTTGCGGCACCTTCACCGGGGCGTGGCAAATTAACAGCTCTCCCGGCAACGTCACAATATCCGAATTGAGCGGAAAAAACGCAGATATTTTGCATTGGGAGAAGAGAAGAGGAAGGAAATGGATGTTGATAAAAAGAGAGAGAGAAGTAGTCAATGCAAATTGAATCGAGGAAATCGAGCGGCTAATCAGCCTGAAGCTATTAAACAGAAAAGAGATTAAAGAACATAAAAGTGGCTTCGATAAATCGAAATCAAACTTGAACCATTTCTTATCATTTAAGAACGAAAATATATGAAACAGCAGCAAAATAAATAGGTGTAAGGTAATAGGTAATAGAATGTCTGACCTTGTCTTAGTTGTCTTAGTTGCTGAATTAAATGTAATGTGAAAAATTATACGATTAGTTAAATCTGCAGGTAAAACGTATAATAGCAGTTTTACATTCGTATTTCAGTGATTTCACAGCACCTAATAAAGCTCTATCTTGGACTCCTGATGGCCGTTGCCCTGTCACTGCTTGTGGATTCAGTCACCGACTGGACCCCCCCGATGGGCTGTTGATTCTTGCAGCAATGTAAAAAACAACAAATCAGATCTTTCAGAATTATTTTATTGGATCGCTAATTGACTGTTCCCGTTCCCTTACTTGTCATGTCTATGGCATGGAATATCTTAGGCGTTAAAGTAGTTTAAAAACAGAAATTGATAAATAAATAAAGAAATAAAGAATTTAAAGAATGTTTGCCTTTGGTAACAGCAGCCTTTCCACACACAAACAAACTGTATTTTTGTATTGAATAAAGTATAGTATTAAACTATTTAAAATCAATTAACGCTACATTACAACCATGCATGTCAAATCATATCAATGGAAGAAAGAAATATTTGAAAATTCCCTTTGTAAATAAGACAAGACGGACGGACAGGCGGACAGGCGGACAGACCGGCAGACAGACATTGCTCTATCGACTCGGCTATTGATGCTAACCAAGAACATATTATTATGGGGATTATGGGTTCGGAAATGCTTCCTTCTGTGCCTTAGATACAACCTTCGAGTTGTACAACCTTTACTCTTCGAGTACCGGGTATAAAAAAAAGTTATGGACACATATTGTCATGGGAAGCCATAGAGCATCCGATAGAGCAAGCAAATTCAATGCCAGTAGGAAAGAAATTTAACTTACTATTAAATAAATTAAACCAATATAAATAAAGACAAATATAAATAGAAACAAAACCAAATTGGGGACGCTTTAAATATCATAAGTAGGACTATGAATTCTTTTGGACGTTGATATGCAACGACTGCACCATCAAGTGGCCCATGCGACGCCAAGCCAAAGCCTGCAGAACCCTCCTCCCGCCCAACCGACCGAGGGGCGCTGCCGCATGACGCGCGGCGCGATTAACCGAACCGGTCGCGAGCGTGCAGGAAAGATAGATGTTAGGCTAATATTCGAGGAAAATTAGAACTAAACACAACTAAACTAAAGAAAGTATAGCTAAGCAAGCAAACCTATCAAAGTCAGAAACAATACAAAGCTAAAATGAAACTAGCTACGGGAGAGGTAGGGAGTTAGTCGAGGATATAATGTGATAGAGGGAATTAGACCCTAAAGAGTTCGTGCAAGGCATAATTCGATACGCACAGTGGAAGGAACAAAGGAATATAGTTTCTAGTGGGTCTAATGGGAATCGTAAAGTTTACGCGGCTCAACAAGTCAGGGCTGTCTACATCCCCCAAGCATTTTTCTACGACTAACTAAGGAAGGAAGATATATTAAAAGAAGTCTACTATGGTAGGATGGCAGTCTCACAGTTGCATCCCAGTTGAGGCGCCGTAGGGCAAATAATAAAAAGTTATTCTGTACTGATTCAGTACGGTCCTGATGTATGTTGTACTGAGGGCACCATACACATGAGCCGTATTCTAAAATCGGGCGAACAAGCGAGATTTAGAGAGTAATTTGCAATTTGTAAGTAAAGTATTGGAAATTTTAAACACAATTAAAATTAAAATCATTTAAACCATATCCACTTTAGAATAAATTCTTTGAAAATTTCCTTTGTTTTTTACTGGCACGGTTTATCAATTGCAACATTTGACCTTGTCCTCGTTTAGAAATGCTTTTTAAGATGTTTTGAATGGCATGCAATTGCAATTTGTTTCATGCGGAAAATTCTCTGTATAAAAGTGGAGCAATGAACGGGAACTTTATATTCGTTTTCCAGCGATCACACAAAACACAATGAAGCTCTATCTTGGATTCCTCCTGGCCGTTGTCCTGCCTCTGCTTGTGACTGCTGGCTCCAAGGAACCGAAGCAAGACGAGGCAGCCTCAACAGCAGCACCCTAGACACGCCCTTCGGTCCAAAGGCCTTTTGGTCAAAATCTGGCGAAGATCGAGTTTAGAAGCAAAAGTGTGAAGGATGGAAATGGCGGAGGAGGAGCAATGAGGATCGCGATAGAAAAGATGTCCAACATTTTAGTGAAACTCCTGGCAATTCTGTTGTCTCCTGTGGACATCATATCCCGACCGAGGTGGCAGGGCAACGGCAACTGGAGCAAGTGGCCAGCGGTAAGCTGGAGACAAAGCGTCCAGCAGCAAAGTGGTGGGCGGGGGGCGGGGCCGAACACATAGAAATTTATAGCACACATGCTGTAAACATGTTCATCAGTTTTTGCTGCTCTGAGTGTCAAGCTCGCCCCGCAAAGGCCGTGGCAGCCAACAACGTGCGCTGCGGTGCGCTCACGTGTTGGGGCACCACACAAAAACAAAGCAGCACCAGCGCAATGCAGGCAAACGAGAGGCAGCAACAAAACAACAAGAAATTGTATTGTATGCAGCAACAATTGGCAGCAGCAGTGGCAACCAAACAGCGACTCGACGGCCTGGTATCCAGCAGGAAGCGCCCCTTGGCTGACTCGTAGGAGTGCGCGTTCTCCCCACCTGCTACCCCTCAATGGATACTTGTGAGCGCCGTGGCCCGGTAGCTACAAATAATAAAAGGATGATAGTCAAAGTTTAATGACAGTTCAAATGATGTTGCCGCCGCTGTGCCAGCTGCGCCCCCTGCATGCAGCATCGCTGCTGCTGTTACTGTTGCTGTTGCTGTTGCTGTTGCTGTTGCTTTTGCTGCATTGCTGCACTTTCCGATGTGGCAGCAAACAATTGCACGTTGTTACACTTTCAGAGCACCTCTGGTGGGGCAGGTTACAATGGGACACACTCGTTGGCGATGCACAGAAGGGACTTGGGGTATATGTGTACCCTGCAGATGGTCGGAATAGGTCCTGGAATAATCGATCTACTTGCGTCATAACCCCTCCCTTTTTGGCATGTCAACTTTGATTTTATATTCCTCTTTTTTGCTCACCGATAAATCAGGAAAGGGCATCCAATGTGTCTGGTAATTGAAAGAAAAAATTCCTGTCTCTCATTTTTTATGCATTATTTTTGTGCATCTCTTTGTTGGCGCTGCTCTGCTGCCGCTGCTCTGCTGATATTATTATGATGGCTGCAGGCAACACGATGTTGCAACATGCGCTCGAACATAATACATTTTTATGCATGATTTCTCACATTGCATGTGATGGCTGGCACTTGATGTGCCACATGGGGCGTATGCCTGTCGGCCTGCTGAACCCACGACTCCTGACTCCTGACTGCTGACTGCTGAAATATGCATTTAAATATTTAAAGTAATTTGTGTTCATGGCACACAGACCCATAAATAAGGTAAAGTTCGGTAGCATATGCAAACAGCAGCGCGTTAATTTTTATTCTGGTTTAACGTATTTGCATCAGGGCTGGAAAATCCATCTTGCAGACTGTCTAAAAATCGAGGAAAATCTACAGACAGATGTGTACTTATGCCAAGATCAAAAGCGCAGGCAGAGACATCAAATAGAAGGACGGAAAATGCAGGTGCGCTGCCCTACAGTGGGTGGGTTACAACGCACTTCTGTTATTGTATGAAGGATAGTTTGGAATTTCTAGTTAAATAAGATGAGATCTTGGAAACAGAAAAATAATAAATGAATCAGTAATTTTACTTGTCGCTGAATAGTTACTTTGATATAATTATTTCCCAACCAGGACCACTGTAAGAGTTTCCCGCATATACTTAGTCATCAGGCAGCTCGTTTTGATGCCAAATGTTGATGGGAATGGAGTGGGAATGTGCACGAATGTGGGCATTAGAACAGCCACAGGGCAGCCCGACATCTTCATCATCATTTGTCGGCGGCAGAGCACTCGAACAGTGCCATATGGAGAGATGATTTAGGAGCGTCTGCTCGGCCGATCATAATGCGGATGCTGATCATTGGCAGTGCGAGTACATCGTATAAATCGCCTGGCACTTGTGCATTAGCCCAGCCCGTTCAATCATTTCTGCTTTGACTCTTTAATTGCAAAATCACATTAGCATAAATTTGTTAAAAACATTTCAAGTGAAATTATTGCGCAGGCCCTCTGCACTCAACTCTAGCTGGGCGGCTCTCTCTCTATCTATCTCTGCCTTCGACTGGCGGCACAATGACATTAATAAGCAATTATAAAACAGAAATAGCAAACTGCAAATTACTTCAAAAGGCTAAGCACGAAAGGGAATGGTAGAGGCAGTGGCAATGGCAGCCACTCTGTGCGGCTCGTTCCTCTCTGTTGCTGCTGCTGTTTCTGTTGCTGTGCCCCCATGCCGCTAGTTCATCATCATATCAGAGGCCGTGTAGCTATACATCTTCATAGCAGTGTGACTGCAAAATGACCTCCAGTTAGCTGGGATGCCGTCGGGCTCCGTTAGACGTCGTCGTCAGCGTCATCGTCATCCTCGTCGTCGTCGTTCTCGTTGTTTTTTTCCCATCATAGCATTGCACTGTTATAGCTTCAAGTGGCTTCATTCATTCCATGGCCGTCTCTCTGTTCTCCATTGACTCAGTCCCTCAGTCTCCCTTTCCCTCTACCGCTCAGTCTCCTAGTCCCCTTGTCCCACTATCCCTCTGCCTCTTTGCCCCTCTCTCTGTCTCTCTCTCTCTCTCTCCGTGGATGATGAAAAACTAAAACTGACGCCGCTCCACGACAGGCACGACAATGAGCTGACTGTTTAATGTCCAACCCGTAGCTGCTGGCATGGGGTCCTAGCTTTTTGCCAGCCAACCAAAACAAGAGCAACCTTTATTAGCAGAAATGGCACAAAAAAGTCAAATGTTTTTGGTCTTGGCCAAGAATAGAGAGGTCCCTCTGGCTGGGATTTGCGATTGTCCAATAGTCGAAAGGGTTTCTCTATTTATTGGCCAGCTCTCCGTCTGATGTCTATTCAGGGAGAGTGGGTTAATGACTTGATTAGGACACAAGTTGTCTCTGAGCAACGGCAAACGGAGACTGCGACAAATCAAAAAGAAAACTACTAAATTCCAGAAGTCTGGAAAAGATTTATGCGGAAGCTTATCCAAACCTAAACTTTGCAGAGTTCATGAAACTGCACTTTGATTAACAATAATTCGATGTCCTTGACAGTCCCTGAAGTCCCTCAGTCATATCCTCGACTTCAATGACGTGGAGTTTGTGGTTGTTGATCGGAAAATTTCCACACATTTAGCATCGCTTGCTAAGGCAGAGCATGAAATTCTCATTTTTTCTATCCACAAATTCTTCGTAAATAAGAGACATTCTGAACCGTAGCTGCACATTTGCATTCCAGCGATCACTCTGAACTCCATAATGAAGCTCTATCTTGGATTCCTCCTGGCCGTGTGACTGCTGCCCCCTCCGAAGCCCCGAAGAAGGCCCTAGGCGGACATGATGAGCATCTCTCTCTCTCATTGTAGACGGCTCTGATTCTTGCAGAAATGTTGATCAATAAAACAGAGCTTTTAATTTACTTCTTTCGATATGCAACATTTTGTTTTTGCATTAGAGGAGCAGTTGTAGAGCTTCCTCTTCAAGGGTAAAGCAAAACACAGATATAAATCCTATATAGTGTAAAGCATATTAAGTAGAAGGGGCGGAGTCCAAAGGTCTATCTAAAATAACGGAACAACACAAAGAGTTGTTTAATCTGTTGGCATTGAAGTCTGCAAAATGCTAAATTAAATGAGCAAGAAGGGCGTGTGAGACGCTTCTTACGTGTCACCACTTGGATACCCGGTACTCAGTAGGACATCTATACCTTAGTGGTTTTTTCAAATGTTACATTTTTGAAACACACTTTGTATCAGTGTGATATCACAGCAATCTGGTGGCAATATTTGGTGGCTCTAGCTTTTATAGTCTCTGAGAACTAGCCGACAAACAAGACGGACAGCCGGACAGACGGACAGACAGACATGGCTATATCGACTCGGCTATTGATGCTGATCAAGAATATATATACTCTATGGGATCGAAAACGTTTCTTTCTGTGCGTTACATACATCCACTTTTCCCCAAAAATACACTATACCCTATTTACTCTCCGAGTACCGGGTATAAATATGTGAGTACTGCACAAATATTACGATTAGTTTGAAGGTTTGAAGGTAGATAAGTGGGGAGTCTAAACGGATTAATGACATTCGTTGTCCAGCGGACCAGCGGAGAAGGCCCCGCCACATATACCCCCATAAAGGAGGATATGCGTACACTGTAAATACAGACCATGTACAATTAAATGTACAATTGATGTAAACAATTAAACAAGTTTTGGTACAAAAAAACTCTCTAGCCAGCACTATTTTAACTGGTTTCTAGATTATCATTTAATCAGGAAATTATGTAGCATTTGACAATAAAATTAAAACAATCGGAAAGCTAACTTTCGAAACTTTAAAATCGAATAGGAATTCCTAGGCACCGATTGTTCCTCCAGGAACTCCCTAGGGAATATCAGGCACGTGTTCTTCGTAAGAAAGAAAGCCTTCCAAGACTTGCTTGATTTTTGGATGTCAACAAATCGAGAACTGAATATCGTTTCGATTTGTTGAAACACATTTCTGTTGGACCTTTCCTTTATTTTTCTATTATTTCATTATTTTTCGTTAAAATTGAACCAAGAAATTCCACATTCACATGTACCATATATAAGTATCTTCGCATTGTCAGGGGGGGGGGGACATGCTCTAATTGCCTCACTGGTATAACCCGGACGTTGCACAACACTTGTCCTTCAAGACATTTAGAAACGCTTGCTGCGAACTAAATCTGACCTTCAAATCGTATTAGTTCCAACTGCAGAATCTTTATGAAACCTATATAAAATCAGCATATAAGCAACAAGGGAACATCAAACATTTGTCTCTGCAGATAAATCAAACAATCAAAATGAAGCTATTTCTTGGAGTCCTATTGTCGTTAGCCTTGGCTTTCGTGAGCACCGAAGCTCGACTTGTTCCCGAAGATGAACCGACAGGAAAGTAATACCAAAGGAATATATAGATACCTGTAGATTTGAATGTCAAATGGTATAAATAATAATAAATAAAGATCCCAGGATATATTTTTTTTTGACTAAAAAATTCGTTAAAAACACATTTTTGCATTTGAAAGCTTAATTTTTCTAATATGGAGTTTGGAGATGCATTTATAAGCTTTTTGTAACGGCAAAGTTAATTACAACCAGATGTGAGATAAGTAAGACCTCTTTTTGAAATTAAAAAAAAAAATGTTTTGCTTTAGAAAAAAAACTCATTATAAAAATTGAGTGCCCCAAATCTTTCAGAAAAAGTTGGTTTGGTTCCTTGAGGATAAAAAGTTCGATTGGTTTAATGATTCTAAGGGGAATCAGCAAAAGAGATAAATATACCAGAATTTTAATGATGTTTTTAATGATTTTAATGTGTGATCCGCACAATTGCGAGCATGACTGTAGAGTAAATCCTTTGCTGGCATTCCATGATTGCTGTCAATGATTCGAAAATTTAGCTGAAAAATACAAATTCAAATAAAATTCAAGCTGATTCAATTCGAAAGTCACATGAGAACTTAGTATACAAAAAAACTCTAACAGGAAACAGGACATTTGTATTTTTCGAATATTTAGTAGACACAAATTTCTCTTATTTCTCTTTGCAGCAAGTGCAATTATCCTGATAAGTATTGCGAGGGCCAGGAAGAGCCGTGTATAATTTGTTGTATGTATCCTTTGGGGGGAATCAATTTAAATTTCTTGGGCAAAACAAATTCTACATTTTAAAATAATTATATAAGTTAAGAAATTTAGTTGCACTTACCTAAGAGTATTAGTTCCAGTAGCAAAACAACAAATTCGTTCCAGTTGCCATCTCTATAAAAAGACGCCTCCAAGCGGGTTTAGAACATTCGAACTACTCGCTCACAAAAGAAATCATGAAGATCTTCCTGGGAATCCTGCTCACCGTCGCTTTGGCTCTCGTTGGCACCGATGCTCGCATAATTGCGAGCAAGCCTGGAGATTAAATGCTTCGATTGCATTCCAGTCTAAGCGACAGTCAAAATAAATCTCAAAAATAAAAATTAAAAAAAAAACATAACTCTAAGAGGGACTTCTAAAATATTTTGTAAAACTCGAGCACGAACGTTGTGAGACGCGCCGTACGCATCTAAGCGGGATCCCTTTCGCTCGGAGCTAGAATCAAGCTCTTCCTAAAAGTTATTTTAAAGAGAGTCTCGCCTTTCATGTGATCCCAACAATGGCACCTTTTTTGCTCCACCATAACTCATTCTGAATGTGGACGCACGTTCCCGCGAGTGCTGCAGAGGAAACACAGGACTCGCACAGACCCATTTCCAGGCCGCAACTATCTTCTGTTCTGTTGCATACATTACGCAGCATATTTGGCGTTTGAATGCCACCGCAGCAGTGGCTCTGATTATTGCTGATAATGATAGTGGCAGACGACAGAAACTAAAACCAAAAACTTGCGGCTCGATTGGCTTCTGTGTTGTTGTTTCTGCTGACTTTTTGCCAAAGCCAAACACGGGAAAATGGCCAACAAGAGCATTGCTGCAAACTGCAGGCCCGAATAGCTGCAACAGTGGCACATCCTGGGTGCTGTGACTGCCACAGATATGAGCGAGAATTAAGTGTTTGCCGCATAA